TTTCATTTGCTACCACGATACGAGTAACCAGAGAATTACCATGATCTTGACCAAATGTTTTTTATTTAATCATTACCGTACTGTACGCACAATATTCGAGATTTATAGATGACACGCGGTGTGTGCGCCGGGTTTATGGCAAGGGTTACTCTGTAAGTTATAATAAAAGGAGGGTGGCTTACATTTCATATTATAATTTTTTCACATTACCGATCATTTACTATAATAATCGGGATATTTTTTATAATTCTCTGAACACCCTTCACCCCTTCCCTGTTGTGTCCCAATACAGTTGTCTTTTATATTGTATATTAAACCAAAAGAAAGGGAAATTTACGTATGTGTGAGTGTTTCCTCAGCATTCTGCAAACATATTCAGACTGCTGCTAAATTTGTCCTCTTTTATCCCAGCGACATTCTGCTAACCACCCCCCCCCCCACCTTCTGTGACTAAACAAAACGGTCACTCGTCTTGTGTGTGCTTCTTAAGTATACATGTATACTCTCGTAAAACATACACTTCCTATTTTAAGCCTTAACTTCTTTTTAGATGTCCTCCAAGAGCGTGTAGACGTCTACTAATTCCAAAACATCACAAATGGAAGCGGATGCCCCCTCCAAAAATCCATGTTCAAGAGGGACAGGGGATACGTACCCAAATAATAAGGGAAAGTGGGGGTGGTGGTCCCCTCACTTTTCGTCCGCAATTAAATGAACTGCATTGATGACTTATACAGCCCGTATTCTCTGCTCATATACATCTGAATTACTACTACTACTACTACTACCACTACTACTACTATACTACTACTACTACTAATAATAATAATAATAATAATAATAATAATAATAATGATAATCATCATCATAATAATAATCATAATAATAATAGGCTTAATCATAATAATAATAATTATTATTATTATCTATAATAATAATATAGTGCCTATAAAAATAATAATTGTAAAAATAATAATAATAAAATTATTATTATTATTATTATTATTATTATTGCGGTTATTAGTAGTATTATTATATATTATTGTATTCATTCTATAATATTAGTATTATATCATTCTTATATTAAAATTATTATTATTGTTAATTCAGTACTCTACTTAAAGCAATGTATAGGCCCTATACATAGTATATATATATTATTAATTTAATATTATCATTATGTTTATTATTTATTAATATTAAAATTATTATTATTATTATAAATAATAATAATAATAATAATAATAACAATAATAATAATAATAATAATAATAATAATAATAATAATAATAATAATAATAATAATAATAATAATAATAATAATAATAATAATAATAATAATAATGTTGATAAGATTAGTTTTCGGAACAGTGAAAATAAATTAAAAATACGTCAAAGACAATTGAGTTTTATTTTCAATGGAGCACCACAGCGATTAATTAGATGATGATGAATTTTACCCTAGAGACTGTCATTTTCGACAATCTAGAGGTATTTCCCCAAATGTTCCCACCTCAGCCCTTAGGTGTGGACTAGGCTGTGAAGTAGGTAGGCCAAAAGTAAATACATCAAAGACAATGTTTGTTGCAAATCGCTTGTAAAACGTCATTTGACTATATAAAGGTGATGTGATGACGATGAATTTTCCAACCTCGGGCCCAACCATAGTGGGCCTGAGGTGGTGGGTGTGGACTCACAAAATATCCCCTTCACCTTTAGAAACAGATCTGCGAATTTGCCAAACCCACACCTCCCCCACCCCCGCTTGGTACTTCGCAAATCGCATATCCACGCCCATTGCTAAATCCTAGATCCGCCGCTGCGCCGTCTGTGTTGTTTTTAACAGAGAAATGTTTTTGGGGACTATAAGCTGCCATTAAGTTATGTCTGTCTTTTGCATTCATAATTGAATGTATCAATTTTCACTCTGAGGAAAGTGGTGATCATGCTGGAAATCATGAAGCGCGTATTTTAATTCTCTGAATAATCATCTTTCGATTTTTTAACAATTCTGACATTCAATAATCTTTCAGTCTCTTCTATGTCTTATGTCTATATACTGGTCATCCTGGTATCATCGTATAATTATGTTAATACTGATAAAGTTAGTTATTGATAGATATTCAACGTTATTTTTCTTGTTATTATTGTCTGTTTCACACAACTTGGAAAATGCAAGGTTGTATTAATTCTTAGATAACCACGATTACAGTGATATATCTCATTTAGTTATTCTGCCGGATCATTAGGGAAAAGAGACTAACTTTCCTTTAGTAGGCCTATATTATCTAAAATTTTAAATATAACTTTATATCCCTATGTAGTGTTTAATGTATTGAAAATGCGAACAGATTATATGAAATATATCTTTCACAATATATGAAATGTATTCGTTACACGTTCCCGCATGTCCATGCCTCCTTTTATGGTTTATTATATTTGCTTGTTTAATCATGGAGTAATTAGTTTAAAATTAGTTTAAGATTAATTCCTCTATGGCTTAATAAAGCAAGTGTTGATGTTTGTTTGTTTTTTTTTTCTTTTTCTTTTTCTTAATATTAGAGAATTTCATATACATACCGCTGGAAATAATTTTGTTCGGGAAAGACGTACACCCTTAAGCAACAATCGGATGTTTTATTCCCGAAAACAAACCCATTATTATTGTTTATAATTAAAATCTACATAAATATATTGAAAACTATGTTAATTTGAACTTTAAGCAAAACTGAAATGTGGTGAGAGCCAAGACAACTTTTAGGACATCCACTGATGTAAATAGGCCTACACGATATAAGGAAAGAAAGGATCGAGACTTAAACCAATATTGAGTGGTTTACGTGTTCATCGCACACTATTGTTAATTACAATTAGGCCTATGTATATCGAATTCTATAATATGATATGTTATGCATCTTGATGAGTTTTGTTGTACATTATGCTGAAATATCAAACTATAAGTGGGGTGGGTACGGAATCTTATTGGCCAAACACTTGTGAACAAATATACACAGAGTAAAAGACATGTGTTCATACAGTGTTCTGACTACCATATGATTGACTGTATATAATACCAGTGTGTCAATATAGCCCTAGACAACATTGTGTAAACACATGTTGTACACTCAGTGGAATTTTTCTAAAGGGATATCGATATCGTAAGTGATGTAACAACAGAGAGTCTCTAGGAGAATTCTTTGGCGTCACTGTGGTCCCATTAATTATAACGAACGACTTATTACTCTCAATTGGCTTTCTCTTCGGGACAGACGATATATTATTCTGATCTCATTTATTTTTCGTTGTTTCCATAAGATAAATCATTGCAGTAGCGTTAGTAATCATATTCATGT